CTTTGATATGGTGGAATCAAGGTGTTTGAATGAAATTTTTAGAAAGTTGGGATTGAAGATATCAAAGTGCATTGTTTAGAATATCTACCTTTCCCAGTATTCTTGTTTCTAATAAAGAACTGGAAATATCTCCTGCTCTTCTCTTTATTGGCTGCTGTTGAATTGCAGTGATTGTATAGCACAGAGTTTCTCTCCTTTAAGAATACAAATCACCTGAGGAGTTAAAGAAAGCAAGTTAATACCTCCAAGGGAAGGTGTTTGTGATGGGAGAGCTAAAAAACTATACTATGTACCTCAGATATTCAGGGTCTCGAAATTGGTTCAGCCCTTGTGCATTCAGCTACGGTAGCCACAACTCTATAGATTCCATGCATGTCTGAGATCTCTGAGTCTTCATCCAACAATTCATGAAATTTCCTTTGTAACAACAATGGTCGAGCCTGCGAAATCCAAATCATGGCTTGGATGAGGTTAAGATGACTAATTTATAAACATTTGTAGAAAAAGTGTAAAGTTCGAAGTAAAAGATCTACATGAACAGTCTACTAACCCATTCAACCAAGGTTTTGTCATCCTGAGGTGCTGATTTTTGACAAAACAGCCTTAAGAGCAGAACTCCAAATGAAAGAACATCGGCTTTAATCAATGCCATTGACTCATGGCTTAGATGACCCTTAACAAAGGACCTTTTTAACACCAAAAGTAATTTCATGTGAACTAGAATTGAAATCTGTTCAAATTTCATTTAGGGTCTAAGTTGTTAGTAAAATGCATACCCTTTTTTGCAGATTAATGATACTTGTTCATAACGCAGCCGTGTAGCTCTCCCAAATCCATAAGTCTAATCAAATTAAGAGGGCGTGATTAGAATGGTGGAATACAAAGATGAAATCAAAACTCCTGAGAAATCCTAAGTTCTAGATTTTTACACCAATGGCTGTAAGTTATCTGTTAGAAGAATGTTGTAGGGTTGTAAATTGCCATGGACATGTGAAAATTGTGCATGTGGGCAAAAGGCTTACATCTAACCTAAAACCAATTGACTAAAATTTGGGCTCTAATACCATGTGATGTTGTATTTCAAGATAAAATATGGGCTTTGATACCATATGAAAATTATGCATGTAAGCTCAATACAAAACTTGCATCCAATCTAAAACCAATTGACAATAGGTGGAGTGTCCTTCTTTGTATTTAATCCACAAGCTTCTTACTTTTATACTCGATGTGGAATCTTCCCACTCTACACAACACCTGTGTTATCTTCAATTTTTCTGGAAATGTTAGTGCCAAATCCTTTGTTCCATAGTTTGCACTTAAATAAAGACATCAAAAATTGAATAGTGCTAGTAATTTTCTCACTGGGAAGAGATTATATAAGTTACTAGGAAGAAACTTGCTTAGTGTCCCTTTTCAGAAGTAAGGAAAGACTGATGATATAGCATTTTCGCTCTGGTGGTACCCTATAAGAACCATTACATTTTTATGGCACATAGACATGGCTGCTTTCTTTTCTACTTCAATGGCCCCCAATGTGATAACCAAACAACATTTAGTCTCACTCAAAAGCCCAACATAGACATTTTGAAAGTTTTTTTCTCTACCATTCCAAGCCCTTGTAGAAAATCCAAAAGTAATCTTCATAATCATTTCCCAGCTTATCTCTATTGGATGTCTCTTTGAGAAATTTACCTCAATACTTTCTTGAAATTTTTACTTTTGCAAGTGGTTTTGCTTGATTAGGAGTTGATTGTTAACCTTTAAGGCTTGTGCTAGGTAGATAATATAAAGGGGTGGGTCTACTCATCTATGACAAGAAAGGACATGCAAAAAGATTTTCCTCTGATTTTGTTTCTTTTTGAGGGCTCTCTGTTACTTCCATAATCATTAAACTTTTAGTTCCATCATCTTTAAGAAAATGATTAAAAACCATAGCATCATCTCCTTAAATCATCATCACTTGCCAAAGATACACTGCATTCCATGCCACTTAGCCAAAAAGTCAGGTCTCTAGCAAAACACCTGCAACAAATTGGATATGAAGAATCCTTGTAGATTAATGGTTCTGAGAGCACATAAGAATTTAGCAAACTCTATAATGCCCTTACAAAACAAAATTAGGGAATTGAGGCAATAATTAACCTATCTATAAGAATCCAATTAGCCTTAGTACTATTTGCCTCCTCAACTATGATATCCATAGGTCTAAAGCTTGTGACAATCTCTACCTAAAACTTCACTTATTACAAAATCCAATAAGCACAAACAAGGCTAGAATGTCATAAAGCAAGATATAAAGGAAAAATGGAAGCACCAGTGCTTCATAGTAGGGGAATATAGCTATGAAACTTAGTCCATTACTTTTGCATCTATTATAAAAAGGCCTGAAAATTCTCCTATAAATATCTTTTCTTCAAAGAATCTCTTGGTGGAGGATTCTAATATCTTCATCTCCACCTCTAAATGGACCAGAAGACGGGACAGAAGCATTCACAGAGAGAGGGTAAGAAGTAAGATCTCATCATTTGGATTGATCACATTCTGTGAGGCCCTCCATAGGGGTGCAATACCTGATTTCCCAGTGTAGACTTTGTTTCCCTCCAGACCAACAAGTGCTCTATGATTGTTCTCCTTCCTTTTCCAACAAGACATTATTAATTGGACTACAGTGAGCTTTTATTGTTCTAGTAGTTTAATTGCCACTCCAATAAACAAGCATATTTCCATCAGAGAATACTATAGTAGTATTTATTTATGAAGCCCGTCTTAGTGAAGAACGCATATGACATTGAAATGTATGGGTTATTTCTCAGGATTTTACAGCTTGTTGTGAAAATTGTGTATATGTGGACTCAATACAAGACTTGCATTCAATTAAAAACCAATTGGTAATAACTAAAATATCTCACATACTTATTTGTTATGCACTCGATGTGAGATTTTCCCACTCAACACTTGTAACATGTCCAAGTTCAAAGCACATCGAATACTATGAGTAGAACATGCTCAAATTCAAACCACATTGAATTCTATGCTTATATCTTGTCCAAGTTCAAACCATATCAAATTCTATGACTAAAACATGCTCAAATTCAAGCCACATCGAGTTCTATGCTTAAACAATGTCCACTTTCTAACCACATGATGTTATATATTACCTATCCATTTTACTTATTATACTTTCTAAATAGAGATATTCGCCACCCAATTTTAGTTTTCAACAAAGCACTAAAGTCTTCTTTTTCAATTTAAGCTATATTAATAGTTACTCCATTCTTAAAAAGAATAGATAACTCTCCAATTACCTAAGACATCTTGAATTATATATTGTAACAGAAGTGTGAGTGAATCTGATATATAAATTATCAACTATTATTAATAACTTTATTTTAACCTTTTGACATTATCTTGAC